AAGAAAACAAAACAAAAAAACAAAAGAGGGACAAACCCCCATTTTAATCATTTGAGTCAACGCACAATCCTAAACCTACAGCTTTAAAAAACTTCTTTCAAAAATACTTTTGAATATTTTAGCATATTAAAGAAATTTTATCAGAACCTAAGAATAGGCTCCAGACACATCCAATTAAGAAACAAAAATGCCCCTAAAATGTATCCAGTATTTGAAACAAAAGTGAAAATTAGCAGGGCAAGCAACGGAATATCATATCCCATATCCCATCACAAGGCAAACATGGCAGACCTGGATGGTAACTGAGTTCTCAGTTTACTTCCTTACACATCTCAGCCTTTGAAACAGGAGACAGAAGGGTTAGCTGTTTACACATTTGTCTTCCTGACACATTCCTTAAGGAGCAATGCACATGTGCAAAGCCATGCATATTGTCTCACACTCACAGTAGGCTTAATAAATGCTTGCTAACCAGAATGGATTACTACTCATAGCCAGAGCAGCCCTTATAAGTGATATGCCAGAGCTATGGAGGCAAACAGGAGAACCGTCAAGAGAACGGAATGAGTGACGACTGTGCAACTGGTTACTAGGATGCTTAAAGAAGACAGCAGCATGAGGAAGATTTCTGGGACTATTAGGAACAAGAAAAAAGGATTTAATCTCATAGAGATGGGAGGAGCATGAGGCAGAAAGCTGAAGGACAGACAAGAGAGCCCATGATTCTTGTACACTGCACCAACAATTCCGTCCAGCAGGGGTCCTTCTCAGGAAGCAAAACAGCTTGTCTTGCCTTTATAACTTATAATTTGCTCCTAACCTTTCACTAAGACTTACATCAACAGCCTCCAGAGACAAACCTTCCCCACATGTGGGTTTCGCTGTGTTGCAGTGAATAATCTGCCCGTGCGTTGTCAGCAATGGCACTAAAGTTAATCATCAATTTGCTGATGTGCTTGGCATCAGTGGGTGGAAAGTGCTCCAAAGCTGAAGAAGGGCATGCTCCTATTTCCAAGTGATTCAGCACAAATGTAAAAATGCCTGGAAACTGTAATTCTTAGCAACCCACCTTCAATGTTTTCACAGCAACCGTAAGGCTATATTTCTTCCAGACGCCGACATAAACTTCTCCATACTGCCCACCCCCAAGTTTGTGCTTCATGGTAATATCTGTTCGTTCCATTTCCCATTTGTCATGGATGGGGGACACGCCATAGACTGTTGGCTTATTGCACTTGGGCGCTGGGTAATGTAATGTTGTCACCAGCCCATCCGCCACTGTGGAGTGATGATGAACCAGCTCCGCCAGGGTGCTAAAGCGGCTCTCGGCAGTTACATACACCTGAGGAGAAAGGCAGGAGAAAAGCTCCATCAACTTGAAAAGGGTCAGAAAAATTGTTTTCAAAGCCCATTATTTCACTGGTCTGAAGATATAAAGACAGGAGGCTATCTTATTGAGATAAATTAAATGATGATGGTAAGGAGAAACAGAACTTCAATTTACTCCTCCTTAAACTATTCTTCCTAGGCTTCCTAAATAAGCTCTAGTTTTGGGGGAAAAGCTTCCAACGTATCTTTCTGAATCATCAAGATCATTGGTCTTCAAGTAGTTTTAAGCAACAAGACTGTGAAACCCAAATATGTTAGCAGCAGAGATGCTCTGATTAAAGGAGGCAAGAGGAAACTTGGCCTCCTGTAAAAGGTTATGAAATACCACATCAGAATCTTGCACAGCACCTGAGAACAACAGAGTTCAATTTTTTTGGTAGGGAGAGAGTATTTAAGTATCTTATAATTTTTACTTAATAAGGATATGTTTTTGAGTATCCAGGCCACTAAAAAAGGGCCACAATAGGGCAACTGCGTGACTCAGTTGGTTAAGTGACCAACTTCAGCTCAGGTCATGATCTCACAGTTCCTGAGTTCGAGCCCCACGCTGGGCTCTGTGCTAACAGCTCAGAGCCTGGAGCCTGCTTCGGATTCTGTATCTCCCTCTCTTTCTGCCCCTCCCCCACTTGCGCTCCGTGTCTGTCTCTCTCTCCCTCTCAAAAAAAAAAAATAAATAAATAAATAAAAAAAATAAGTTAAAAAAAGGGCCACAATTTTATTTCAGAGTGATTAACAGTAGTTAATTTGTAATAATAAAAGTATAAAAGATGAGTAGTCTTCAAGCCCTATCTTCCAAAGGAGCTTGTTTATATTTTTTTTTTTAAATGAAACTTTTGGTGTATATAGAATAATACACAGTATACGCAGAATTGATGATTTTTACAAGGTGAACTCACCCATGTAAACCTCCCCCACACCAAGAATTGTAACACTACCAGCACCCTCCCAAATAAGCTATTCACCCCTTCGAAGATAACCATTCTGCTGACTTCTAGAACACCTTAGATTAGCTCTGTCTGCTTCTGAACTTACACAAATGGAATCATACAACAGGTATTATTGTGTCTGCTTTCTTTCACTCAACTTTTCTTTATTGTGATATAATTTGCATACCATAAAATCCACCGTTTTCAAGGATACAATTCAGTGGTTTTAATATATTCCCAAAGTTGTCCAACCATCACCACTATCTGACTCCATAACACTCCCACCCCCTCACGCCCATCCCTGACAGTCACTAATCCCTTTCACTCAGTTTTCCATGTGTGGCACTCAGCTACGACATAGGTCAACAAACTTTTCTGCAGAGAGCCAGAGAGTAAATATTTCAGGCTTATGGTCATAATGCCTCTGTCACAACTATTAAAAGCTGCCATAACAAGGAGAAAGCAGCCACAGACAACATATAAACAAATGGGTGTGTCTGTATTTCAATACAATTTTATTTACAAAAATAGGCAACTGGTGGGCCCACAGATTTTCTTGAGAGTGTGCACAGCAGTACATCTTTTTGTTGTATGAAATTCTATTTTATGAATATGCCACAATTTACTAATTCATTCTGTTGTTAGACAATGAAGTGTTTCCAGCTTGGGGCTATTATAAATAATGCAACTGTGAACATTCTTGTACATGTCTATGTCTTCTGTGTCTCCTATGTCTATGTCTACAACACATGCACTCATTTCTGTAAACCAGAAGCAAAGCTGCTGGGTCTCTCCCACATTACCACTCATCTGGTTCTATTTGGTTTCATCAAGAGACAGTAGGTCTATGCGGTGATATAAAAGAGAATTAATCATTATTTCCTACTTTGTAACAGCCATTATGTTTTAAGGAAATTATTTCATTTAATCCTCATGATGACCCAATAAAGTGCAATGAGAAACAGGCTTAGGTAAGGTCACAAAGTTAGTAAATAGACATGCTGGAGTTACGCACCAAACCAGGTCTGCCTGCTCCAAAGCCTGGGCTTTCCCCTACTCTGCATATCACACAGAGGGAAAGAGCAGAACAAATGATTCCATATAAATTTACTGTTCAGCAGAACTGACACAAAGGCAGGCCTCACAGTTTATGAAGTAAAACGGTTCCACTCCTAAGACAGCCACCCTGAAACGACTGGTCTTCCCAACGTGCACTCTGCTCAATGACTGACCTATTTCTATCAACACACATTCATACTCAGTCTCCGTCTCAGAAGCCCAGATTCTTACTTTGTGAACTTTGTGGCAGAGATTATTACAATTTTCAAAGACAGAAGGCTTAATCTAGCAATTCTGTACAACACACTGGATGTATATGTATATATCCGTACACTGGTGGTGATTAGAACAGCTAACTTAAATAGCAGTTTCTTCCATTCACCTTCAAATCTCTCATTAAACTATTGATATAATAGTGTTTTTCATTTCCATCACCATATTCTTATGTGTAAGCTCTAATGTGCCAAACAGCCCAAATTCACATCAGTGATTATTTTATTTCATATGAGTCATAAAAACTTATTTTTTAGTCATTCTGAGTGTTTTTTCTAAAGAACAGCCCATCCACGCCCAAGGTGGTACCGGCCAGTCTTACCTTGCCGTCTGTGGTGGTGTTGATCCTGTAGTGATACACACGGCCCTCGTACCTGAGCGAGATGGACAGCTGCCCAGGGCTGCTCTCACTCTCCCGCACCAGGAAGCTGCCATTGATCAGACTGCTGAGCAGGTACTCCGCAGCGCTGCGCGACACGGGCCCATGGTACCAGGAGTGTTTTTCCAAGCTGTTCACTGGGGTAATGTAGTTGCTTGGCACCCAACCTTGGCCATTCTTAGAGCGAACTTCACTCCACTCACCATTCTGGTTGTAACCAAGGACTCGTAGCTTTTCACCTGGCCATGACATCATCAGAGAAGAAGAGAAGAGAAGAGAAGAGAAGAGAAGAGAAGAGAAGAGAAGAGAAGAGAAGAGAAGAGAAGAGAAGAGAAGAGAAGAGAAGAGAACTTAACTTCAAATATCAGCAGTCTATTATCAAACTCTGAACTCTGTGAAAAATCAATCAGGAAATTTTACGCCAACATTAAAAAAAAAAATAATGAAAACAAACTTGGCTGCTCATCATATCCTGATTGATCTCTTTAGCTTGTGGCTTAAAGACAAGCAGCACAGTTAGAAATAACCTTCTGGTATTTACTAAAGGTTTTTACACCAACTAAAAAAATGCCATTAGGAAACTCCACGTGTGGTATAGTATGGTGGCATACAAACACAGAAAGGTTCCCAATCCATAAACACAGAGAATACACTGCTGATTGCCAGAGGGGAGAGGGTGGGGCATTGTGCAAAATGGGTGAAGGGGAGTGGGAGATACAGGCTTCCCTACAGAGAATAAACAAGTCACAGGGATAGATGGTACAGCACAGAGAATACAGTCAGTGGCATCGTAATAGAGTTGTGTGGTGACAGATGGTAGCTACACTTGTGGTGAGCACAGCACAACAAATAGAGCAAATCACAGTGTTGTACACCTGGAAGTAATGCAGTATCATGTGTCAACTATACTTGAATTAAAAAAAGACAGGTTATTCTGGAAAATGACACAGTCTCACCCTTCAAAGAAAAGTTCATTTTTCTCAAAACAGTTTGTCAAGGAATGTATCTTATATATGGTTCAATGTTAACAACAATCAAGGATTAGGGATGAGAAATGTGAAATACAAAGTCACTCTGAAATTTCAGTTGGCACCAAAGCAGCAAGACCATCTACGTAAGAAACAAAAAACAACAAAACAAAATAGAAGCACAAACCACAGAGCTTTCTGTTTTCAGGAAAAAAAACTGCTTGGGGGGCAGGCGGGCGGTTAGGACTCCCAAAGCACAATCTTTTCTAGGACTCAAGTTTTACCAGTTATAGTTTCCCAACTTCCCTCCCATTCCTTATGAAGATGAGTCAGTCCCACTCATTCCTCTAAAATTAGTGTGTGGGAAGGGAAGCCGCCACTGAAGCCAGAACCCAAGACAAGTTATTCAGAATGTCTTTGCTGTCAACGTCAATGTCCTTAATTTCTCTATTAAAGTTGTGAACCTCAGCTTTAAACTCCCTAATATACATTTTGCCCCTAAACCTACAGCTCAGACAAAACAGGAAAGGTGAAAGAGAGATCATGCACATGGCCCACTAGTTATCAGGCAAAGGCCACTGAGGAAACACTCAAAATCATTATTCTGGCAGTCACTGAACATTGTCAGCAGCCCACAGAAACGTCTACCATAGGATAACTTTATTAGCTCCTATGATCTCATCTTTGACCTGGATGTGACATTCAATGACAAAAACAGGAGTATGTACTCATAAAATATACATACGTATACACGAGTAGATAGGAGCATGTGGTGTGGTGGTGGGACTGCACAGATAAATACTCACCAACCATATCTGCAGGTAAAAAACCTCAGTGCTCCTAGAAAAGCTAAATAGAACTTGTTCCTCTATAGCTGTTCTCTATTGTACCACAAGAACTAGAAACGTAAAGAATTAGTATATTACTGTTGCTTCCTTACAAATAACTGCTAACGGTGGGTCATCATTAGCAGGATACAGTCAAAAACCCTGTTTTTCTCTATTTTCCTCTCTTTTAGAAGTTAGGAGGGGAATTTTCTACTCTGGAAGTTTTGAGCACCAGGGAAATTGACAATAGGACTAGTGGGGATGTAAACATGAGCTCTACTGACAGAGGAATGCTGGGAGAACTGTTTTTTTATTTCAAGCAAAAAACAATATTCAAAGGAGGAACTATAATAAATTGTCATTATTTTATTTTTAAAATGTATTTTCTTCTCCTTTAAAATATAAAATAGCTTTAGCATGACATCATTTTATATTAATAAGAACCTGATAGAAAAATCTGGCTTCTCATGGGTTTCATGAGAAATCCCTGTTTGCCATGAGATAACAAGAATCCCACCCCCTGAGCTGCACTCTAGCGATTGCCATAACTGGTAACTGAGGAGTCAACAGACTTTCTTTATCGATGTTTCCTTGGTGACTGAACTATCTTAGAAAAACCTCACATGAAAAGTCTATCTAGAAAGAATGTTCTGAGTCACTGCTTCACCAACTTCTCCACTGAAGTATCCATAAAGGTAAAAAAAAAGTGTGTTGTAGCCCGAAGAGACTACTGCACAGTATAAAATTCTTTGAAATCCTTTGTTTTATCCTAAAAGTTCATGTAAAAGTTTCCCCCCATGCATAAACCTCATACACACAGAAATATTATCACCATCCCTTCCCCAAAAACTACCTAAAGTCTTCAAGTAACTTGACACTAGATCACCGACTCTACTTTTTCTATGCCTCTAAAGCCTCCTGGCACAGATAAATGTGCCCTTACACCCACTCAGGGACACATCTATACCCCAGGTTTGAGTTAAGGGTTTCTTTTGCTTTTGGTTAATCTGACTGGATTTAAAAAACTGATGCATGTAAAAGTTTTATGAAAGGGTAACATTCCCTGAGTGGAGGTCTGCCTTAATCTGGTTTATTCACTCCCATTTAAAATTTTATTAACAACCTTACAAATAAAAACTGTATGTCTGGCAAATTATCGTTTAAATTAGTTTCATTTAAGTTAAAAATTATCCTTGGGGCATCTGGGTAGCTCAGTCAATTAAGTGTCTGACTTTGGCTCTGGTCATGATCTCGTGGTTCGTGGGTTTGAGCCTGTGCTGACAGCTCAGAGCCTGGAGCCTGCTTCAGATTCTGTGTTTCCCTCTCTCTCTGCCCCTCCCTTGCTCATGCTCTCTCTTTCTCAATAATAAATAAACATTAAAAAAAAAATTATCCTGAAATATATTTTTTCCCAGTAGGAGGCTTTCATAAATTCAGAAGAACAAGCTTCGGTAGATTAGTAATCTAATTCATGTACACAATAAGAATGTCCCATGCTTCTTTTTTTTACTTTTTTGTAATTTTTTTGTATTTTTATTATTTTTTATTTTTTAAAGTAATCTCTACACCCAACGTGGGGCTCACTCACAACTCCAAGATTAAAAGTCACATGCTCTACCCACTGAGTCCCAGGCACCTCTCTTTCTCATAGAAGGTCCATATTTTCTGTCCTTATTCAAAAAACTAATAATGAATGATTTTACTTAGTCATGTTCTTAGCGCTCCCTTTTATAAACTTTCTACTAAAATAAATGACTATTCTCTTGCGAGTATTACTGTAATAGAAATCCTTCCTACTATTCCTTTCACTAGCCCATATAAACACAAATGAGAGATTTGTCTAGGCCAGTGCTACTCAAAGCAGGTCCACAATAAGATATGACACTTGTGCTGGAATGTGAATCACTGGACTACTTCCTTCTTGTTCAAAGTCTTGCTTTGCACCTAGGTGGCTCAGTAGGTTAAGCGTCCGAATTCGTCTCAGGTCATGATCTCACAGTTCGTGGGTTCGATCTCAGGTCGGGCTCTGTGCTGACAGCTTGGAGCCTGGAGCCTGCTTCAGATTCTGTGTCTTCCTCTCTCTATGCCCCTCCCTTGCTTGCACTCTGTCTCTCTTTCAAAAATAAAATAAACATGGAAAGGAAGGGGAAGGGGAAAGGAAGGAAAGTCTTGCTCCAAAACCAGAAAATGTCAGCTGAACTAAATAATATGTAGTATACTTAGGGACACAGTTGGCTTACATATCGGAACCAAGTTCTTAATCTTAACAATGTGGACTGGTAATGAACTATTCTCAGGTAAGCAGTCAGCCCACGGACAACACTTTGAGTAGCACCAGGCTCCGGCAACATGACTCATCTTAGCCACAGTTCAAACAGAAGAGATGTATAGTAAACCTAGTGCCACCTAAGACGAATGCTGCATATTACATATAGAACTGAATTCTGAGAATGAGATGAGTTTATGTATATACCACATGGTGCTCTTTCTTTCTTTCTTTCTTTTTTTAATGTTTATTTATTTTAGAGACAGAGAGAGCACAAGTGGAGGAGGGGCAGAGAGAGCCAGAGACAAAATCTGAAGCAGGCTGCAGGCTCTGACCTGTCAGCACAGAGCCTGACACGGGGCTCGAACCCACAAACCGTGAGATCATGACCTGAGCCAAAGTCGGATGCTTAACCGACTGAGCCACCCAGGTGCCCCTACATGGTGCTTTTTCTAAAGTACCTTATCTCCGCTTCTCCTTAATAAACCCTATAAAGTAGACAAAGTGACATTATCCCATATACAGGCTTAAACAAATAAACAAACAAGCCAGTGAACCAAAAATATCTGGGCCTAAATCACCTAATTTTAGTCAGAGGCAGAATCTAGAACAGACCCCTTTATTTCTTAAGCACTAATGAAAACTGAAGAGTGAGGAGATGTTACACAGAAGCTCACCTTTAGTGATGCTGAGTGTGTTATCACCACTCGCCACAAAATCATAAAGTGCAACAAAGAGATTAGGGTCACTCTCAGTGGCTCCAAGTAAGTTCTCCTTGGAGCTCCACCTGATGGCTTCATTCAGTGCCTGGGGTTCAACATCACAACCATAGGGGCGGTGCAAGGCTTCTGAAAGACATAAAAAGAGAAAGGAATTGACACTAAGTTCAACCATTAAAAATTCATTTGAATTCAGTACATATATAGTATTTTAGCTGCTGGCATATATGTATACTGAAAGTTCCAAGGTAGAAAAGAACTGTATAATATGGAGTCATGAAGAATGAGCAAATGGCATGGTCTCCTAAGTATGAGAAAAGTCTATTTGTTGAAAATATAACAAGACAAAAGATCACAAAATGAGCATTTAGCTGTTATTTATACATATTCACCAAAATCAGAAATAGAAAGAAAAAGTGGTTTTCTCAAAATGAAAAAAGGAAATCTCAAAAAGAAATGGCAATTCATTTCATAAAACATATCAGATATTTTGTGGTGGTGGTGGTTTTAAGAAAGTACAGTTATGTTTTATAAGTCTTCCCAAACTACCCTTCTTCTTCCCCTGCTCTCTACACATAAAACAAATTGTGGAAAAGATAAGAGACTTTAAGAAATATGTACATATTGCATAAACCCAGATCTACATTTACATATAGAAAAATTATAGAAACAGTGCTTCCAGAAAGAAAAAATACTAACAATATCTGTTAAACAATAGAAAAATGTTTTGGTTTAATACAAAATACTCTTGGCATTCCAAAATACCTTTGTATTACTCTGCACTGTCTATAATATAATAGCAAACAATTGTTCGTTGTTTTAATGAAAAAGTTTTCATCTTATTTTCTTTTCTTAGATGGTACATTTCTGTAAGTATCTTAATCGAGAACTTAATTGAAGGCTCTAGAAAATATCACCAACAAAGGACATTTGAGTTTCTACCACGTGTAATGGTTGAAGCCTTGTAAGACCTGGTTTCTTCCTCAGGCTTTATGGTTCCTAAATTTAGTCACACTACACAAACAGGTGATCCCTACAAAGATCACCTGCTTCTCACAACCCAGGTCATTTACACAAAAAATACACTATGCCTTCAAAGGTGATTTTCTCGATCACAGAAACTATTTTTAGTGGCTGTCTGCCACTATCCAACTACCTATTGTGACATAACAACACTTTTCTATTATGTCTCTCTCTCCTTCTACTCATTTTTCATTTAAAGTTGACTTTCTTATATTTGAAGAAGAAAAATCCTGGAATCTGTGGTTTTATTTCTTTTCAAATACATTCCCTCCTCTCCATCTCTACTGCCAATGCCTCAGATCAGATCCCCATCATCTCTCACCTGGACTACTGCCTCCAGTCTTGTCTCCCTCAAAGCCATCCTCCACACAGCTGGCAAAGTGATCTATTTAAAACAAAAATTTGACCATGTCACTCTTCTTAAGATTCTTTAATAGTTCACCATCAAGCTAAAATCTTCTCAATGGCCTCCGAGGTCTTTTATGATTAGGCCTCTATCTACTTCTCCAGCTTTACCTCTCCCCACTCCATACCTCAAATTCTAAACATGAACACACACACAGATGCTTTCTGCTGCTTTGTGCCTTTATTCACAGAGTCCTGGTTACCTGGACTGTGAACTCCTCCCACCCTTCCTTTGACTGCCTGCCTTCTACTCATTTTATAACATTCAGTTCCAGTGTATAACCTCCCCTAGGAAGCCTCACGTGCTCCCCCTCCCCATACTCTCAAAAGCATTACACTTGCTATATTTGTACCCTTTATCTTTATAATATCCTCAATTGATTTTTACATCCCAAACTTTACAATGTATTCCTTGATATTAAAACTCTTTTTCTAGCAAGAGTTACATAGGATGTGTTCAATAACTGTTAACTGAATGAATGACCAAATTATACAAAACTGTAAGTGACGGGAAACAGTGAGATGTATTTTAATCTTAGAATAGCATTAACCAATGTTTTAAAAATGGCTTCATAACTGTCTACAGAAATTCCTGTAGTAGGTTGGATCTGTAATTTTCCTGATAGCTTTAGAGTTTACTTCACTTCTTCACATTCCTTCCTCCTAAGAGGAATGTATCCTTAAAATTTCAGAGCTAATTAAATTTTGTCCCACATTAAGATTATGACAAATCTGAAGTTATGTCCAGATGTCCTGTAAAGTTAACATGAATCAGATGTATTATTGCTCCTTGTTTACATGCAGTTACAAGGAATGGAAACAGCTGTACTAAAGTAACCAATTAGGATTACCAAACAAATAAAACACCATATTCTATGAAACATCCTTGAAACTGATCACATGTACTAGGGTTTCCTTTATTCTAATAAGAAATCATCCACTCTAGCAGAATTTCCATTGGGCTACAAAATGCCAATCCTTTATTAAAATGAAAAGAACTGCCAAAAAGTATAGAGAATATTTGTAATATTTATTAGGTTCTATAGCGAGTACCACATGATCCACACTGATAAATGTTTCTTGCCAGTAATGGTGGTAACAAGATTAGAATGCTTTGTGATTATTACTCTATTATTCTGTTTAATTATTATCAAACAGTTCAAGTTCATTTTCTTCTTGTTGTATAGAAGTCCCCTTGCTTGAGATAAAGGGTAGAGGAACAAAATCAAGGGTAACAAGAACTTGTGTACTCTCAATGACCAACTTAGAAATAATAATTAAGCAGATATTGAAGCCAACTCTTAAATCCTAGCGAGCCAAAACCAGCAAAAACCATACAATTATACCTTACTTTGTAAAACCCAATATATGAACACTTAAGGTTTACAAAATTAATAATTTTAGTGAACATCTACCATACACCATGCTGAGCTTCAGAATATCAAGATTATAAATCACTAATAACACCATTTGGACTTACTATAAAAGACTACTCTCCGTTCTTTCCCCCAAATCTGCCTCTCCCACAGAATTCCCTGTCTCAGTCAACAGTAATTCCTTCTTTTCAGCTGCTCAGGCCAAAAGCCTTCAAGTTTGAGTACAAACTTCCAGCTATAACATGAATAAGTTCTGGGCATCTAACATATGATTATAGCTAATAATACTGTATTATATACTTGAAAGTTGCTAAGCCAGCAGACAGTAAATGTTCTCACCACAACATAAGAAATGATAATTACATGTGATGCAGGTACAGCTAATGCTATGGCGGTAATCACTATGCCATATGTAAGTGTATCAACACACTGTACACCTTAAACTTACACAATGTTACATGTCAATTATATCAATAAAGCGGGGGGAAGAGAACCTTGGAATCCCCATGGACTCCTTTTTGCCCTCACATACTACAACCAAACCATAAGGAAATCCTATTGGCACTGCCTTCAAAGATATACCCAGAATCTATCCACTTCTCACCCCCTCCACTATTTCCTTGTTACCACCATCATCTCTCAGCTAGATTTCCCCACACTCCTGATTTCCATGCCTCTATCCTTATTGTCTCCTGTCTATTATCAATACACCAGCCAGTGTTTAAAGCGTAAGTCAGATTATGTGACTCCTCTGCTCCAAACTCTGTGATAGCTCCCTACCTTCGAGTGAAATGTGAAAGTCCTTACAAGAGCCTGCGAGGTCCCTTGCAACTTGTCTTGCCCAATTCATCTGCCTACACTCCTCCCTAGTTTACCTTGTTTTGCATACTGGCCTCCCTGCTATTACGCGAACAAGGCAGGCACACTCCTGCCTCCGGACGTTTGTCCTGGCTGTTTCTTCTAAAACATTCCTCCCCAGACATTCACATGACACTTAACTCAAATGTGACCCTCCTGGTACAGCATTCTCTGACTATTCTATTTTAAAATGCAGCTATTCCTGACAACACTCCCACATACCCCCCCTCCCCATGTCTCCTTCCCTATTTCTCTCCAGAGCTCCTCTTACTACAAACTATATAATTATTACATTCATATATATTATTTAACTGCCCCCAACTAGAGTACCAATTTTATGAGGACAAGGATTTTTGTATGCTTTGTCCACTGATAAATTCCAAGCACCCAGAACAGTGCATGTATGTAAGAGTCTCTCAAAAAACATTTGTTGAATAAATGGATCACGGGTACTGTTATGCTCACATACTGTACCACTATGAGAGGACAGAACAGAAAACCAAACTCTGGATCAGAAAAGGTTTCAGAGAAGAGAAAGCATTTAAATTAGGTGAACAGGAACTGTGCACTCACAGTGCACAGGCTGTCAGTGTGCAAGGACAGGTCTATGACATGTGATTCATCTGAACTGAAGAGAAGCTCCATCAAGCTTGAAAGGTTTGTTAAAGGCATGAAGTTCAGTTCCTTCAAAACCACACTATTTGAAAAATGGCAAAGAGCACAATTTGATGCAAACTTAATAAGATGTATAGAGGCCAAACGATACTGTACCTTTCTCAAATATACAAAATAACAAACACAGGATAAAAGTTATTTTTGAGGCCAAAGTACTAAAAGAACCATGACTTGGAAAACAATCCTTTTCACTCCCCACTCCGGTTCTTCCCATCTCTACTTTTAAGACTTTTTTGGTCAAGTCAAAGATCTTATTTCCTTCCTTTCTTCTTTCTTCCCCCTCACTCTTTTGTTCTCATAGAACTAATAAGGGTCAATTTCCTGTACAATCCGTCTGCACAGGATATCCATTTAAACGCCATCCTATCCGCTAAGCATCAAACAAAAGGAAAAATGTTTCAAAGACAGAAAACATCCTAACATTTTCCTGAGGCCAAGAATGAACACGTATTAAATCATAAAGAACTAAATGCAGGAGAACAAGCTAAGGGATAGTGGGGGGGGGGGCGAGAAGCCTATAGGAAGAGCAAGTAAATAACAGTGTTATCCAGTGGGTCATAGTCTATGTCACTTTCCTTGTCAGCTTAAAAAAGACACATCTGGATGATTCAGATGTACTGAGCCTATATAAATGCAAGTGTGAAGGCTGGAAATATTTTTGAAAAATGTGAAATCACTACTATATATTAGGTATGCATTATATTACATAACGGGTTAATTTTTCGTTAATCACGGTTTTTGAGGTAGATTATGGAGCTAAGATGAGACAACAATATAGGACCCAGGGAGCAGAAATAGGGTTGTTAAGTAAAGGTTGATTTTATTACTTTTTTCTACTGACAGACTTGCAGAAGACAATAAAAATAAGGCAAAACATAGAAACGGCAGTTTTTAAAAAGTAAATTATCAGGATTAAACTAGTTAAAATCTAGAATAAAACTCAGACTCAAATTCAGAGAAAATTCCTAAATTTAATGTTTAATTTTATTAAAAAACACTTTTCACCAATCAGTCGTTCAATAACTTTTATCAGTTTAATTAGAAATTGTCAGATAGTGGGGCACCTGGGTGGCTCAGCTGGTTAAGCGTCCAACTTCGGCTCAGGTCATGATCTCACGGTTCATGCGTTCAAGCCCCATGTCTGGCTCTGTGCTGACAGCTGGGAGCTTGGAGCCTGCTTTGGATTCTGTGTTTCCCTTTCTCTCTGCCCCTCCCCTGCTCACACTCTGTCTCTCTCTCACTCAAAATAAATAAAACAGTAAAAAAAATTTTAAGAAACTTGTCAGATAGTAACTGGAGAAATAAATATACAAAATTTTCAGTTGGGGCATTTCTAAGCATTTTACAAACCCTTATCTTGCCAGAATTCTACTTTACCTGACTGCATATTCTCTGAGAAGCTAATACTTTTTTTTTTTTTTTGAGAGAGAGGATGCGAGTGGGGGAGAGGGGCAGAGGGGGAGAGGGAGAGAGAGAGACAGACAGAGAGAATGAGAATCTTAAGGGATCCTGAGCCGAAATCAAGAGTTAGATGATCAACAAACTGAGCCACCCAGGTACCCCCAAAGCTAATACTTTTTAATACTGTTTATGTAAGGTGGTTGGAAAAATCATTCAACAGTTCTCAAGGTAACTTAAGTACTTCATCTCAAGCCATATGTATCTTAACACCACAAAATACTACATATCACTCATTTATTCTTTCCTTCAGTTAAGTACTTACTGAAATCCTACTATGAAATACCAGAAAAAAAGCAAATCGTTCCTAAATGGATGATGAAGTATAAACCTGCAGAGAAAAGTTTCCTTGGAGAAAACCTGTTTACAGTAAAACACCACACACGCTTTTAAAAGAGGGAAACGCCCTAAGGAGACTCATCTTTTGCATCACTTAACTTCACTGGTCGAAACTGACGACAGTAACAGGAGTAGAGAAAATTTTTTGAACTCTCCATTCATGTTTGATTATTGTGAGTATCAACCCTCCCCCAAACTATCACCTTGGAACCATACCTGTCACGTTGGGTAGAGCAGTTTCTGAGGCCTCACTACTGCACAGGCAGCAAAGCGATGTGTCCTGATCTCTGCCATAACTATTGGGTGGAAGCAGGACTGTTCCAAGGACCATTCCTCTGCCCAGAAGCACAGAAGTTAAACTGTTCTATGTAGAGGAAGTCTTAGAATTCCACTCCCTGACAAGCAATACCACATGCATGTGACATTTACTCATATACTCAGTGGCCAGAGGAAACCAATAGAAGGGTAAGCATTTACAAGTCCCAAAGTGGGCGGAGAGTAACCCAAAGGAAAGTGTCTAGTAATCAGCAAAGACTGAGTCAGATCAAAGTTACTTCAGAAGAACCTTTGGAAATGTTTTGAAAAAATAAGTAAAAACCAACATACACATGAGTAACAAATACAAAAATATGTAGGGATTAGTATATATAGATGGGATTTCTTTCCTAAATGGATGATGAAGTAAGCCTGTAGAGAAAAGTTTCCTCGGAAGAAACCTGTTTACAATAAAACACCACATACACTTTTAAAAGAGGAAACGCCCTAAGGAGACTCATCTTTTGCATCACTTAAATTAGCTCAAGTAACCACAAATCCAAAGTGAAAGAAATAGTTACAATCTGATTCATGAACAAAGAAACCAGGAAATGACTGCCTTCACTAACATTTCGGCTCTACAGCTTAATACGGTTAAAAATACAGCATGAAAAAAATATATGGCATGATTGCAACACGGATGGTCCTAGAGGGTATTGTGGTAAGTGAAAATAGACCAAGAAAGACAAATACCATGATTTTATTTATATGTGGAATCTAAAAAACAAATGAGTACACAAAAAGCAGAAACAGACCCATAAATACAGAGAACCAATGGTTGTCAGGGAGAAGGGGGTGGGCAGATGGGCATTCGGATGAAGGGGAGTAGGAGACACAGGCTTCCAGTGGTGGTAGAAATAAGTCATGGGGATGGAAGACACAGCATAAGGAGAGAACACTCAATGGTATTGTGACAGCACTGTGTCAGCTGGTGACTACATTTAATGGTGAGCACAGTCAAATCACTATGTCTGTACACCTGAAACTAATACAACATTGTGCTAAGTATACTTCAATTTAAAAATAACATTTTAGGGTACCTGGGGGGCTCAGTTTAAGCGTCTGACTTCGGCTCAGGTCATGATCTCACTGTTTGTGAGTTCGAGCCCCATACTGGGCTCTGTGCTGACAGCTCAGAGCCTGGAGCCTGCTTCAGATTCTGTGTGTCCCTCTCTCTCTGCCCCTCCCCAACTAGCGCTCTGTCTCTCAAAAAATAAAATAAAAACGTTAAAAATAAAAAAATAAAAATAACATTAAAAAAATAAAAAACTGACACGATAATGTTGAAAACTTCTGAGTGTTAACACTTATAAGTTTTTTTTTCCTTAGTTGTTTTAAATGTTTACTTTTGAGAGTGAGCAGGGGAGGGTCAGAGAGAGAGGGAGACACAATATGAAGCAGGCTCCAAGCTGTCAGCACAGAGCCTGATGCAGGGCTCGAACTCGCAAACGACCTGAGCTGAGGTCAGACGCTCAACCGACTGAGCCACCCAGGCCCCCCCCAAACTTTTAAAAGTTGTAAAAGTAAAAAGCTAGTCTTTATTAATATTAGGAACAAAGTTAAGTAAAATGTAAAAATCTGAAAATAAGGGTAACTTGTTGAGAATTAAGCTAGGAAAATCTGCAAATAATACACTAAATTATTTAGTGGTGTCATCTACAAAAATAACACAAGAATTTTTGTAACTGTACAGTTAAGAACACTCATTGATCAACATTTACTAAGTACCTACTATGTACCAGCCACTGTGCTAGGTTTCAGGTCAACAAAAGAAACAGGGTAAAACTGTAAGATACCAGGACTGAAATAGCCTTCCATGAAGTTGAAACAAATTATGTCACCTCAGAGAAAGAATGTCTCTGACATAGGTAATTATTAATAGCTTAAAAAAACAAAGCTTATACTTTCAATAAAATGACCCTTTATAAAACCAGTATTGTTAACATCACAGAAAAAGCAAGAGTTAAATGACTAATGGTTACCTCAATTAATGACTCAGTGTTTCAAACACCAGGTTGAATTTCTCCTTCCCTAGATTATAAAAAATATAAGAGAAAGGAGCTCCATAATCCATATTCTAAACATATCTATATTCCATACCACGTAATTTACTATTCAGTTAGTAAATCTGCTCTTCAATCTACCAATAATTAATAGTTACAACTTAGGAAACTACAAAAATTAAGAAACTACAAAATCATAATGTAAAGAAAACGAATATTTTTGTGCTGCTATGCTGCTTCCATCTAACCCATGTAATAGCTTTTAAACGTTTTAAAGAATAAAATGAAGACTGCATACAAAACTAATCACCAAAAAATGATACATGAAAGCCTAAGAAAATTGAACTCAACAAAAGTATTAGTAAGACACTTTTTTTTTTTTTATTTTAATGTGTTTTTATTTTTGAGGGAGAGAGGGAGGGAGGGAAGGGCAGAGAGAGAGAGAGAGAGAGAGAGAGAGAGAGAGAACGAGCAGGGGAGGGGTAGAGAGAGAGGGGGACCCAAAATCTGAAGCAGGCTCCTGGCTCTGAGCTATCAGCACAGAGTCCGATATGGGGCTCAAACTCACAAACTGTGAGATTATGACCTGAGCCAAAGTCGGATGCTTAACCAACTGAGTCACCCAGGCACCCCAAGACATGTTCTCATTTTAAAAATTCTTTTTCAGTTTATAACAGTGATATATGCTCATTATAGGAGATTTGAGAACTATATATAAATAAAAAGACAACAGCACATCACCCACTTCTACATCCTCATTTGTTGAATTATTAAAGTAACATTGATACCTTTGCATTTGGCTCTTTTAATCTGCATAGTGTTTCATTCATTCAGCCAATATTTACTGAGTGCCTACTAAGTGCAAAGCACTTTACTAGACAGGAAATATCTATTAGATGCTAAGCAAGAAATAAAGTCCATGAGAGATGAAGATAACAGGCTGGGAGGGGAGGAATTTCACTACTTTAAAGAAGGTGACATTTAAGTAAATGCCAAAAGCAAAAGAAGAATCTAAGCAGAGAGAATATAGCAAGTGCAAAAACCTAAAAGTAGGAAAGAACCTATAGGAAATGAAAAGTGTGGCCTGTAACTGAGAAAGTCAGAAAAGAAGCATGAAAAGAAGTTAGTAAGGTAGACTGGCTGGCTGACCAGATCAAGCCCACAAGGGTTTAGGATTCTTTTCCAAATACAATGGTAATTCACTGAATAGTTTTATGCCAGGAGGTCATATGTTCTGACTTCCATTTTGTAAAAGACAAACACTCTGGCTACCGGGCGGGGAAAAAAATGGATTAGATAAGAAATAACATCAGAAATAGGTAAATATGCAACAGTTCGAGAATGGACTCACACTGGCTTGGAAAAGAACGGTGTCATGAAGACAAAAGTGGAAGAATTTAAAGATCCACTTTACAGATGGAACTGACAGGGCTCACAGATCACTTAGATATGAGGTAAGACGAGGGTGAAAATAAAGAAAAGCTGCCAAGTTGCAGGCTTGAATAAGTGGGCAGATGGCTATGTAATTTACTCGAAACGAAGAGCGCTGTAAATCAAAAGTTCCACTGTAGACAAGTAAATGTGAGGGATATAACTAAGCACCTTGATCTACAAATCCGAGGCTCAGAGAAGATCTTGGGTGTCAGACATCAGCATATAGATGGTGTCTAAAACCATGAATCTGGATGAGATCACTTAGGGAATCAAGAGTTAGGTGAAAGTACAGGATCATGCTTAGAGGGGGAACGATGACTTCAATACTGCAGATTTCTCATTTGAAACACGGAGGCTACAAAGAAGGGAAAAAACATGATCTTAAGTGCTTAGAGAAAAAACTGTCAACCCAAAATTCTCTGTCCACAGAAAACATCCTTCAGAAATGAAAGTGAAATAAAGACATCCTCAGCTAAAGGGAATAACTTGTTGTCAGTAGATACGCTCTCAAAAAATTCAATTCAGACATAATGGAAATAATACCAAAAGGAAATTTTCGAATATTAGGAATAAAAAAAGAGAAACAAAAATGGTAAATAGAACACTCTTCTGCTCTTGAATTCTTAATATTTGACAGTTGGAAGCAAACAGTGTAATGCAATCTGTAGGGACTTGTCAATGCATGTGGATATATGACAACTACAACACAGGGAAAAGAAAACTCTTATGATGGTAAGCTTTCATATTTCACGTGAGGGGGCCAAACACTGAATCTAAGGAGAATGTGAAAAGTTTGGTATGTATATTGAAATCCATAAAGCAACCACGGGAAAACCTATACAAAGAGATACAACCAAAAACAACAGATAAGCGAAACATGTTAATAATCCAAGAGAAAGCAGGAAAGGGGAAACAGAAGAACAGAAAAAAATTAAATGGTAGACCTAAATAAATCCAAACAAATCAGTGATTAACATTTAATAAAAATGGTCTAAATACAATTAGAAGGCAGTTTGTCAAAATAGATAATGTCTGATCCAACTACAGGCTATCTAAAAGAAACCCACTTCAACTGTAACCACAGAAGTAGGTTAAAAATGAAAGGATGAAAACATATGTTTACACAAAAACCTGTAAATGAGCATTTATAGCAATATTCATAATAGCCAAAAGTGAAAACTTTAACTGAAATGTCCATCAATTAATGTATAAATAAAAATTGTTCAGCAATAAGAAAGAAGCACTAATACACAAATGAACCTTAAAAACATCCCAAGAGAAGGAAGTCAGTCAAAATGAATACGTTATGTGATTCCATTTAGATGAAACATCTAGAATTGGTAAATCCATAGAGAAAGAAAGCAGATTAGTGGTAGCCTAGGGTCAGTATGTGGGGAGGAATATGGAATGACTGCTACTGGCTATGGGGTTTCTTTTTGAGGTGATGAAAATATTCTAAGATTAGGTTGTACTGATGATTGAAAAACTCTGAATATACTCAAGCCACTGAATCATATACTTCAAATGGGTGAATTTTATATGTGGATTTATATCTCTATAAAAGCATTAAAAACATTAT